TGCATAAGTACTCATTTGACTACAGGTTCCCCTTCCATTGCAATTTACTGACTTAATTGCAAGCCCTGGGTGGAGAGATTCTTACTTGCAAACACTCCATCTGGTTCTGGGCTCAGCCTTCTCATCAGCTGTTTTGCTCAATGCAGAAAGTATTTGATACGCAAAATTCTTTCTTCAAGCTGCATTTTCTCAGGAGTGTGTTCTAAAACAGCAATAAACTCCTGTCTGCCTTTCTCATTTCCTGGGTTGATACTGATTGCCAGTGCTAGCCCTACCTGCCTCAGTCAGATTGGATCTCTTTCTTAACTAGTTTAGGTAGGATTTCTAGGCAGTAGACATCTAAAACAACCATGTCAGGACTGATCCAAAGGGTTTTCATCTCCTATAACCACACTCTAGAGCTGAAGAGACTATACGTCCCTCCTTGCTTGTCACATACAAATGAAATTGTATATGCTACCACCACCACTAACTCGTGTTCTTTTCCACAAGCCTTAGGAAAATAAACCAGAGAGAAAAAAGAGTTCTGAAGCTGCCTTTAAGAAATTAATCCTCTGCCTGGAATGAGAACTTCTGCTCTGATACCATCAGAAAACTCTATGAGCTGAAGCAAGACTGAAGGTATGCAAGATGCCATCTGGCATCATCCCAAAGACCAGATGGGTGCTACATTCTCATGCATAGTATCTGCTTCTGGACCCCTCCCTACATGCAAGACTGCTATACCAATAGGTGCATGTAACAATAGGCACTGGTGATGTCATGACTCAGTTGCTTTTTTTGGACCTGACCACTTTTTCCAGTGACATTTGAGAAGAACTAACACAAGATTTAGCTCAGATCACTATCAGCAAATGCACATAGAAATACCTCCAACTTTTCTGGAGCCTGGCAACTTCTCAGAAGTTTGGGCCAGCTCCACTGTCACAGCTGTGCCTGTGATAATACAGATCAGCCTCAGAGCTGTGCCAGTGAATGCACATAGAAGATTACTGACTGAACACAAGGTCTGGTTCATCGAACTATTGAGTCAACCTCAAGAAGCAAGCATGGACAGCAAGTTACTGTAGCAGACAGTAATGCAGAGGAAATAGGGGTTTGCTTAGGACCCTGCCTGCCCATCTTAAATGTATCAACACATATCAACCACACTAGTGTTCCTAATCACAGAACATATGTGCACATGCCATGGACAAGTACATTTATTCCCTTGGCTCCATACATATGCAATGCCTTAGCACGCTCTCAGCATTCAGAGTGATCAGCCCTGCTGTCTGTGCTATTAGATATTAAAGTAATGGCAGGGATCTGACAACAATTTCCTATGTATGCAAGTTACACGTGTGGCATCTTCTTATGCCATCAATATGGAAAAAAAGAGCTACCAGTACAAGCTAAGGCCTAGCTCATATATTTTCTATTTTAAATGTGTATCAGCTGCATTGTTATCTTTGAAGCTGTATCATCCAGTGCATCAACATAGAGAACATGAAGAGCTGAGGTGAATACAACTTTCAGATCTCTAATTAAGGGTATGAAAGATTTTAAATTATTTAACTTTCACACCTGGTTCTACTCTGATAACAGTTTTGAAATGTAAAAATACAGCTACTTCACCACCTAAACTACCAATGATATAACACTGTACTCTCTTATGGCACAGGGATCCTTTTGTCTGTTCAACTGTGTCTCTTTGGAGTAAATAAGTTTGATTAAAACACATTAGTGCAGTTCTATCAGGCCTAAACAGCTGAGGCCTGAAGTTTAAACTCCATATATGGGTATTTAAGTAACATGATTTGTTCTTCCTACTACACAGATCTCTAAACTCATGTCACCTCAGTCTAATTAGCTCACATTAGAGAAATTGCAGCTTGGCAGTGGAATCTGGCCTTTTGAGGCTATCTTGCCAATGCTTCTGCTGTTGCAGAAACAGCACCTGCTTGCATGGAAGTGAACCAAGAAATTTGTGAGGATTTGCTCCAAGAAATCATCAGTTCTGTTCTGATGTGATCACTAGACCCCCTCAAAATAAGCAAAAGTGTGAAAAAGCATGAAATTGGGTGCAGCACCCCAATTCAAATATGTATTGTGAGTGAGCCAAAGAAAAGCACCAGCTGGGTACACCAAGTCAGGCTGAATTACTTCATCATTTACATCTCTGAGCTGGTCAGCTCACTTGCAGCATCCCCTGCCATAGGATTTGTCCCATACAGCTGAGCACTTACATCCCACCAGACTGCAGAGAAAGGTTGTTGTCCTCAGTTTGCCTTTGCCTTTGTTGCGCTTTTCAAAGCCACTTGGCCAGATAGGACCCTGATGGCAGTCTGTACACAGTAAAGAAACTGAGAGGTCTGACTCTGCTCTGTGTGGCATGTGGGACCTGTAATGGTCTCACTCAAGAAATAAAAAAAGATATAAAGGCACAGTAATTAGAATACATGGTTTGACTGGCGACTAGCCAACTGCATGTTTAACCTCCCTGGCTGTTAAACCCTCTAGGTGCCCGTGCCCTGAGCTGAAGGTAATTTCTCAGAGAGGCTATGCATCAGTGTGGTCACTGTGACATGTCTCTCAGAATGTCCTTGCAGGGTTGTCTGCACCCTATCTCTCAGACTGCACCACACTCAAAAAAAGAAGCAGGAATGGGTCTATCCCTCCTTTCAACCAATCCCTGGACCAGGTTTTTCAAGTCCCTCCACCCAAGGTTGTTAGGTAGCTGCTGAGACTCACTGGGTACTTCTACATTCTGGGTGCCCCTTCAAGGATTGCCCCTGGCCTGGAAGGGATGTCTGACCCTGAGAGCATTCACCTGGGATATAGGAAGATTGAAAACCAGTTTCGTGATTTTTCCTTAGACCCATGTCTCAAAAAAACTATCATCAGCCCTTCAGGAAGGAGGGCTGCAATGACCCAGCTTAAATGACATGACTACCGGGGCTCCTAGCATATTGTGAGTAAAGTCTGGGTGAAGCAGACATTTGAGGAAAGAACTGGGAAAAAAACTGAGTTCTTCATGTGTTGTTTGTGTTTGGTTTTCATCTAGTTCTTGTGACAACTTGCCTGTCAAACAGCCCTACAGGAGTTTTCAGTACTTGATAAATTGCTATGAACAGTGTTGAAACAACTCAGCGCTACGTGAGAGTGATGTGAGCTATGATTTGAATTTGCCATGACTTCCATGTGGGTGAACTAAGGAACCCAGGGGGGAGTTTGTCTGGATTTACTGTTAAAAAACCCTGCTACTGATAACATGCTAATATCATCTTGACTTTTTTCTCTTCTGTCCCAATTGCTCAATCCGCAGGTATTTCTGGGTTTTTTTCCCCTTTTTTTTAATTTAAAAAAATCTGTAAAGCAGAAGTCAATTACAGACCAACATTATTAGAAATTAATTTTATTCTGCTTTAGCCTTTTTCTTTAAAAGTGCCTACTTGTAAGTTGTTGCTAAAAGCACCTAAAAATTATCTGAATTATTTATAAAAGCAGTTTGTCTTCATGTGATGCTGAGAGAAATTAGGCATCCCCCGATGAATTAGTGATTACTCATTATTTAAAAGGCGGGATTTACATGACACACAACTTCTCAAAATGGAAATGTCCACAAAATTACTTATCTCATAACTAGATGCTATAACCCGCCTGTTAGTTCAGCTCCTACAGTAGCAGAGAAATGTCTTAAAGATAGCAAGATTCTTAATTTAGTAAGGTAGGGAAACATTTTTCTGCAGTACCATTACTACATTAGGCAGATGAAATGTGGATCTGTAATAATGAAATGCCCAGATGTTTTACAGCTTCAGATGAATTAATGAGGAATTTATCTATATGGCATGAATAGTCCAGTGCAACATCACATACATGCAAGTTTCCAGTGTCCTTGCACTTCTGAAATAGGTGGACACCTTTATCTGCTTTAAAAAGACAATCCTGCTTTATAGATAAATTGTGAGTAACAAGACATGTCCTTCACACCTAGAATACTCAGTTTTAGAATTTTTGATTGCTGCAGGCATTTATGTTTCAGCTGAAAGGGAGCCATAAAAGCACATTTTGTGTAGAATACTGAATATCTTTCATGACTGTGGCTATTTCAACATTCTCACTTAAAAATACTTTATTGTCAGCCTTGCTATCCTGAATGTTTTGAAATAATCACACAGCTCCTATTTTTGTTAGCACCATGCTGAAACTTCTGAAGATAGCTTAGTCAGAGCTGACACCTTAGACTACAGAATCCCATTATTCTACTTATTAGATATTTCCAGCTATATATCCATCTCCGTCTTAACTGGTTTTTAATAAGTGTATGAAGAGTATGTTTAATAAAAAGAAACCAGAATTACTAAATTTATGTATTTATACAGATTTAATCTTTCTACATGATGGACAGAAAATAAATAGTTATGAATTTGCTTCTGCTTGTATTCTCTGTAGAACACCGTTGCACTCACACACCTACAAGGTTCTCAAATCATTCTGCCCAGCCTGAAGTTATAATACCTTGTTATCAAAAATGTATGGGAAGGTTACATTTTTCAGGGAAGCAAGAACATATTTTTTTTTAAAACATAACCATTTCAATTAATTTATGAAAGCTAAAATTACTCACCTTTAATTTAAAAAAAGAAAACACAAAAACAAACACACACCTTTTTCCCTTCTTAAAAAAAAAAGTGCCTAGCACTGTAAGATCCACAAACTTACCCAAACTGATTACAAAAGTGAGTTAAACCAGCACAGGACTGTAATGAAGTTCAAAATACAAGCAGATATAAGACTTCCTGAAAATAAAATTTGGGGTTGGATGTAACTAGCATTCAGAGGACAAAAAACAAAAACCAAAACACAAAAAACAAACAAAACAAAAACAAAACCAAAGACAAAAAAACTCAAACAACAAATTAAAACAACAGCAACAACAAACCCAAACCACAACCAAAAAAAAAAAAAAAACCAACCAAAAAACAAAAGCCCTGGACAAACACAGAGGAGCTTACCTTTAAAGAGTGAGAAGAGCAAGGATGACCAGAGATACAGTGCAGAATAAACAAATGCCAAGCACTTTTCTGTGAGCATTGTCAAAATAAGCTGGCTCTCCTTCCTGAACAGAGGGTGAAAGAGGATGAAGTCTTGAAGACAGCCTGCAATGACTGATGGATTTGGCAATTACAGTAATAAGGCATCAAACCAGCTTCCCACCAGGGGAGAAAAGTGCATTTGCTCATGTGCTTCTCCAGTCCCCAGGAGCCAAGTCAGCTCAGTGCTTGGTCAGTAAATCCAAACACAAAGGAACAGGTTACATTCCTTTGGACTCACATTGCTCGACACACTGAGCCTTTCCCTGGTCAGGAGCAAATGCAAGTGATCCTCGCACACAGCTGTCTGTGTATTGCAAGAAGGGGGAGTGTGCTGCCTCGGAGATGCTTTCCACATCTCCACATATTGTACCTAACTCGAGACAGCACGGCTGCAGTGTTCCAGTGCTTGCACTCGAGTGCCTCTAGAGCTGTTTCCCGGTGAAATGAATTACTGTGTGTCCCCTCTGCTCTCTCCCAGCTGCCAGGGCAACTTGCAGCAAACACCTGTGGCACACATCTGTTTTTCCTCCCAGCAGAGGTGGCAGCGGGGATTCAATAGTGAAAAAGTTTGAAAATATTAAAATAATCAATCTCCTGTTCATTTTTGATGCACCCCTTCTTGTAATTGTTTCCACTAGATGTAGGGAGATGCTCTGAGTGCCTTCTTCCCCAGCTGTCTGCTGTGGGATTTCACACACACCTTGGCTTCCTTTCCTCTCCACAATTTTATTCACCAGCAGAAGAAAGGCAAGGTGAGGCAAAGTCTTAAATGAATAATATTCATCATTTGGGCCTTTCTTTTCTCATTTGTCTGTTCTGAACACTCACCCACCTCTCTTTCACTGCAAGCAGGGACAGGACATCGTACTCCCCCTTGCTGAATTTCTTGGTGCTTCTGCCTTGACAGGGTACAACCCTGGACTGACGCAGAGAGCAGCAGCAAGTCCTGACTCCGGGCAGGAGGAGGGGTTTGGGCACTGCCGTAGTGAGGCTGCAGTGGGCAGTGCAGGCTGGTAGGAGAGCAGAGCCCCGGGATGGGGGGCACAGGGTGTGCTGAGGAAGAGAACTTGAGAGGTTGAGTGCTGGGGCACAGGCTGACCATGGAGTTGCCCTGGCTGGAAACATCTGCCCTGGGATCAACTGCAGAAATGCAAACCTATAATGCTCAGGAAACATGTGAGAAATGACTGGTCAAAGAACCAGGAAAGGGGAGGAAAACAGTACTAGTGGGGAAAGCAACACCACCAGCATTAGTTAGTAACACTCAAACATCTTCTGCAGTTTTCATGCTTTCATTTTCTTTTAATAAATGTTAAATAGATTTGGAAAGCTGCGACCACAAGCTGGAGCCTGGACTGATTTAGCTGTATCCTAATGTCCTCTCACCCTGTCACTGGATGGTGGGCTGTTTTCCTGGGGGTCTGGGAAGGACACTCAGAGCTGCTGGCCCTCCCTTTGGAGTCTTGCTCACCTTGCCCCAGGTGAGCTTTCATTGACCAGCTGCATATGAACAACCAGCCACAGCCTTCTCTGGGTTCTCCCAGACCTCTACTTGCTCCCCATGAGTAGGAATTGCTGCTGGGACCCTATGAAGGCTGGCCTGGGAGACCCCCTTGGGTGGCATCAGGGCCAGAGACCATAGAGGGCTGTCCTCCCACTCTCCAGCTGCACTGCTGACCTCCAGTCCCATTTGATGTTGCGTCTCCTCACTGAGCCTGTATGTGACGGTGTCAATAAGCCAGTGGGCAAAGCTCCTTGTGTGCCTGTGCAGGGAAGCCCATAGAAGATGGAACAAAGCCTCATTTGGACCAAAGTAGTGCAGGCTGGGTGTGACAAGGCACTGCACTGTTGCTGCTTCCTACCATCCTTAAAGAGCTGCCCCAGCTCCCAATGCAACCATGACAGCAGGTGGTGGAGAACAGCAAGGTAGAGAAGGGATGCTGAGACGTAGCGCAGGAGATGCTCACTGACCCCAGGGCAATGGCCACATGGCTGATGGCAGGACTATTGCAGTGCTGTGGGAACTAGGGGCAGAAGGAGGTCCTGCTCTCAGGTCTGATAGTGCTGCAGGGCAATGGAGATTGGGGGCAGCTAAGTGCTTAGGAGATCATGCATCAGATTTTCTGTAAGTTTGATACATGATCACAGCACCCTGCAGGGGAGATCACTTGAACAGAGCCCATTGCAAAGTGTGGGAAATGGATTTATAGAGAGTTGTCAGGGCCTTACAGAAAGCCCACGCAGTACGTATCTGTATGCAAACTATGAAACAAGAAATGCTGACTTAGAAATGCCATGAAATAGGACAGATATTGTTGAGAGAGAAATGGAGCTAGAAAAAGGTTTCAAAGGATAGCCTTGCAAATAAGACTAGATACTTTGGAGAAAGAGAACTATGAAAGATGCATTGTAGTAGGACCCATGAGGGGTAGTTTTAGATGACTGGCTTTAAGGCATCTACAGCATGGTGTGGCAAAAAGTTGACAGGCCAAGAAATCCTTACAGTGTATTGTAATTAGGAAATAGTTAGCTGCTGATTGTGATAGCGTGAATTATAACATCTGTATTGTCTCACTCTTTTCATGAGACTAAAAATTGAATAAAAGCTTTTAAAATGCATCTCAGTTGTCCCCACTCTGGGTCAGGAAAAAGGTATTGTCCAACAGCAGAGATACCTGTTCTTGCAGCCCATTGTGCTGACTGGGGGGCACCTGTTGCAAAACTTCTCGTTTTTCTCCTTCTCTACTCCCCTCACATGTCCACAGCAGAACGATATGGAGCATAGTTTTGTCCATTATTTTTGGTTTACATTTGGGTTTTTCTTAAATTCCTTTAAAAATGAAAGCTTTCATCAGTGAGTACAACTTCATACATATTGCAGCTCCAGTTGCTGTACTTGCCTTCAGCCACCTGTCATCCCAGTGATGACCAGAATGTGGGGACTGGGAGCAGCTGGGTACCTGGGACCTCCTGCTCTCAGGTGGAACATGTCCGATGGTGCCCCAAGGGGTGGAATGACATGCTCCTCAAAGATGTCATCCTCCTACACTGAGTACAGGACAGAGGTCACCCTCCTCTTGCAGAGGGGGCACTCAGGCTTGCTCCCAGCCCACTGCAGAAGGCTCACTCAGCAGAAGCAGAGCAGCCACGGCAGTGCATAGCTGGCCTCCTGCCAGCTGTCCAGGCAGATGGGACAGCAGTTGTCCAGCTCCATGGCCATGCTTGCCATGCGCTGTGGGGTCTGAAGACAGCTGGGGATGACAAACCACTTCACTGCCTCTCAGTGACACGGCAGCAGCAATTGTTGTGCTAGAAAAGTGAGGCCACAATTGTTGTCTGGCTTAAGGATGGATAGAAGTAATACCCACGTCCCTCAGGAAGGAAACCTTTCCTGCTCCCCAGATGAGTCTTCCCCTCCCAGATAATTTCTGCTGCTGCAAGAGTGACCCCTGAATGCCCTGGTTGCCTCAGCTGAGAGCTCCATTTTGCAAATGACTCACAGGGGCACAGGCTGAAAGTCACTGATCTCACGAGGATGGAAAATCCACCTATATTATGGCTCTCTGCAAGCAGGAGACTTGGTGCTGCAATATCCCACTTTAAGCATGCAAATGCAGACAGGAAGAATCCAGGGGCTTTGCAGTCCAGTTCCTTTCCTGCACTCCTCAGCTCTTAATCACATTTCAAAATTAGGCTACAAATGAATTCTTTGAAATGCCTGGGTTGCTTTGTCCCACAGCCAGCCATTTAACCATGTCATCTGGCAAAAAACGAGCATATATGACAACCAAATATACACTGTGGAGTCTAGAAAACAACTTATTGCACTACTGAGCTGCAGCCAGGTTCTTTGTTGGGATTGCTCCTCACATAGGTTTCGTCATCAGTGCAGGGGCCTGAAGGTGTGTTTCTCTCACAGGCTGTTGTTAAGGAAGGGTACAGCGAGAACAAAATTATTGTGCAAGTCTGTTGTGCTCCTCCTCTCCCATGTTCACCTGAACTGTGCTGCCACTGCAAAAGGCTTTCCCAAATAAAACCAGCCCTTCTGGCTGAGGTCCTATAGGAAGGATGTACACCTGCCCCTCAGCTCTGGATGTTTTCACTGCTCAGTATCCAGCTCCTACAGAAGCAGATGACATGAATACCAAAACCAGGATTTTTCACCAAAGAGCAGGGAGGCAGACATTTTCTCTCACTGCCAATTCCCTGTGAAACCTGGGATGGACTGCTGCAGACTGCTTATAGACAAGGTCCATGTCAAAGCTCTACCTAGTGGTTCAGTCTGTGTTCTGGCCTTGTGAAGTTATGTGACTTGTTCCTCTTCTTCTTGAGGTTGCGTCTCCTCTGGGTCACATTGGTACAACTCAGCAAGTTTGGAGCTGGGCATCCTTCCTCTGTGGATGGGTTTGTCTGCAGGTGAGACAGCTCCTCTTCTACCACCTTTCACCATGCTGCTGAGTTTGCCCAGTCAGCCCTTCTAGCACTGATTTCCAAGCCAAACTCAGCACCTTGTGCTGTGAGCGGACAGGGATAAAGGACAGCTGGCCACAGTCACACTTTAACAGCTGAGCAAGAAGAAAGGATGATGAAGAAAGCCCTTATAATGCAGGAAGTGCTGGAAAGTGCTTTATCCCAAGAGTGGTTTGGATGAGTTATGAGTGATTTGGGGAAGCCTGATAAAGATGTCAAGTGCTGGAGTGCATTGTTCAGAAGTTACATCACCAGGGTTTCACCATGCATGTCAAGATGCAGAGATCACTCAGGGGGTTCAGCTCCTCTCCAAGGAAAGCAGATGACTCCAGGCCTCACATGCACAAGCCAAGTGACCTTGCTGGTGAGGCTGGGGACGCTGGAAGATAGGAAAGTACTGCAGGATGTGAATACCTGGCTGGTTAAGCAGGGAGCTGGGCTGGGGTGATCCCAATTCTGCTGGGTGGTAGGATGAGGAAGCCAAGGAAGTTAGCTATGGAGGGGTCCACTCCTTTTGCTGGTGAAAAGGGAGGCAGATGGTGGCAGGAGGGTCTGCATGACCTAGGGATCCCATGGCTTCCCACTCCTGCAGGCAGCAGATGCCTTGTGGGCGGACTGAGGTTGCAATGGAGCTGCCACTTGAACTCTGCATGCTCCAATGGCACATAGAAAGAGCTG